GTTATATTTTATCAAGACTCTCTATGTGTTTGTAGTGACTTTTTCAGAATATTCAGCCTAACATCATGTTGAATGTGTGAGTCACATGCTACTCTTCCAATTCTGATATTCTGATACTATTTTTGGCAACTTTAGTAAAGTATTGCTTACATGTTCCAGCTGGATTTGTCAAAGTCCAGGCTTTGTCTCTGCTATGCTGTGCAGAAATAAGAAAAGTGATGTGAATCTCCCATCAGAGTTTTAATGGTGGAAATGTGCTTTAGAGGGCAATATGTGAGGGCTGTAGTGATTACTGTGATTTCCCAGGGAAAGGTCATCCTTCAAGCTAGAGTCAGGCCTCGGATATCTACTTACCCCTTCCAAGTGGAAACTGTCCCTACTTTGGGGCCGCTCATGGAGGATAGAAGTCTGTTTATTTTGAAACGATTCAGCTAACCAGTCTCCCTCCATCCTCTATCACCTTCTCTCTTCTTTAAAGTGGAGGACTCATGTATAAATGAGAATTGTAGTTTAAATTGTACCCTTTCAAAAGATATGTTGAAGTCCTAACCCCCGTTACCTCAGAATGTGATCTTATTTGGAAATAGGATCATTGTAGATATAATTAGTTAGGACAAGGTCATGGTGGATTAGGGTGGGCCCTTAATGTGACTGGTGTGCTTATAAGAAGAGGAAGAAAGACACAGAGGGAACATTGTTATTGACTGAATTGTGTCACCCCCAAAATGCATATGTGGAAGCCCTAACCCCCAATGTGTTGGTATTTGGAGAGGGAACCTGTGGGAGATAATTAGGTTTAGATGAGGTTATGAGGGTAGGGACCTCATGATGGGCTTAGTACCCTTATAAGAGAAAAAGACACCACAGCTTGCTCTCTCTACCACGTGAGGATGCAGCAAGAAATCCAAACCAGGAGGAAAACTCTCTCTAGAGCCTGACCTTGCTGGCACTTATCTCGGACTTCCAGCCTCCAGAACTGTGAGAAAATAAATTTCTGTTGTTTAAGCCAATTTTTGGTATCTTGTTATGGCAGCACAAGCTGACTCGTACAAACACCACGTAATGACAGAAGCAGATATTGGAGTAATGCAGCTGCCAGCCTAGAAATGCCAATGATTGACAGCCATCAGCAGAACCTAGGGAAAGGAACAGAAGGATTCTACCCACAGTCTCAGAGGAAGCGTGGCTCTGCTGACACCTTGATTTTGGAATTCTAGTCTCTAGGACAGTGGGAGAATAAATTTCTGTTGTTTTAAACCACCTGTTTTGTTGTACTTAGTTACAGCAGCCCTCGGAAACTAGTACAGGGTAATGGTAAGGTTGGTGGAGGAATGCTGGAAATGGGCAGATGACTCAAGGTCTTTCTCTGCCTTCTCTCAAGTCATAAGCGGTGGCTAGAAGCCCCTGAGGTCTGAAGGTTAGTCAGGAATGCAGATAAATCCATCCCCAAATTATTATATAAGGCATGGGAGGGAATTCAATTTTCCAAAGGTCAGTTTATATCTAACATTTTCAGAGTTCATCTTTTGTATAAAACAAAGTGTATCTTGGTTTTATTAGGCCAAAATTCCTGCTAGGAATTGGGTTGTGATTTTTTCTTTCCCAAAGCATTTCATTTAACAGTCTACCTGGTGAATGGGGAGCAGTTGTGAGCTACAATGCTCCCTAAGATGGGAAATATTACAGAAATGAGCAAGGACAAACTGGGGAATGGAGGAAAAAGAGTCCTTTCTATTTTTCACTTCAAATTCAGGGAAATATTTAAAGCATTGGGCATTGTAATACCTTTCAAGTGAAGGACATGCATCTATTTATAATATTTTTCAGGGATCAGGAGAACACACATAAAACCTTTGAAATTGTGTGTGAATAAACGTCTTTGTGAACATATGGCAAGGGAGTGTGATCCTGTTAAACACTTGCTGTGTTTGGCAGGAGCAAAGAGCTAGAATGCCTGCTCACTTAGTTCTTCCCACCCCCTCAGATGTGAGTCTTAGCAAGTGGGAGGCTCTGGTGCATGCTTCCTGAGGTCCATGGATGAAGGACAAACTATAGCTGCAGCCACAGTTTTGTCTAGTGCCAAACCAGTATCAGGACATAAACAGAGGATATGTTGCTCTGGGGGTGAAGCCTGGAGAATGTGTGGAGGATGCACAGTGCCCTTTTAGTCACCGAGGAAAACTGCACTGATGTGTTTATAGGGATCTGTCAGTAGCTATGGGCTCTGTATTTCAGTTAGATGCCAGTGGATGCCCAATCCAACCTTCCTTCACACTCTCTTTGGCCTCTCTGCCCCTGATAACCAGCTTTAAAACAAGTGCAGCTTTAGGAATTGAAGTGCCTGTGGCCCAAAACCCACACCCAGAAACTGGGAAGGGTCTTAGGCACATGCTGTTTCTTTTGTATGGGATACTCCTCATATCTCTGCTGGCTCACCCTTCAAGGCTCACTTATATATCACCTTCAGGGAGGATTCACTAATCACCATGTTCTTCTTATGGTCAGAATTTTGCACATTTGTAGTAATTCACTTAACTTTATGGATCACCATTGTTTAATACCTGTCCTCACCAGATTGTATGAGGTTCTTTTTTGTTCACTATAGTTTTCCTAGACCCTATAGAATGCCTGACCCATAGTAGGCATTTGAGAAATATTGTTGACTAATTGTAAGTTCAGTGTCTTCCTATATGAAAAAGTGCTGCCTTATAGTTCATATAAGGCATCCCCATATAGGGATATGGTGAAGAAAACCTTAAAAACATTTCCACAGATTTCTCGTTTTCAAAGTTCCTTCACATTAAAGAAAGGAAGAAAGGAAAGAAGGAAAACAATTCAGTGGAAAATGGGCAAAGGATAAAAGAAGTAATTCACAGAAGAAATTCAAATAGCCAATAAATATACAAAAAGATGCTCATCTAGACTAGTAATCCTAGAAATGGAAATTAAAAACAATATTTTATACCCTCAGATTGGTAAAATTGCAAAGTTTTGATAACATTCATTGCTAGCAAGGACTTAGGGAATAGGATGCTCTCATACACTGTTGGTTGTTCAAAACTAGTGCAATCTGTATGAAGAACATTGGTAGTATTTTTAAAATTAAAACTGTCTATATTTATTATTTAATAGGAAAAATTGGAAACCATTTGACCTCACACAATAGGGAAATGGCTAAAAAAATTTAGTGCATTCCTGCCACAGAATCCCTTAGCTATAAATATTAACATCAATGAAAATCTATGTAAAATTTTTTTAAAAAGGAGATTGCAAAACAATATGTATAATATGATCCCAACTAAGTAAAAATATATAAAAGCATATTCTCCAAAGGAAAAGATCTCAAACGATTCACACTATGTATAATTATAATAATTTTTAAAAGATTTTATTTATTTATTTGAGAGAGAGTGAGCGAGAGGACATGAGCAGGGGAAGGGCATAGAGAGAAGCAGACTCCCCACTGAGTGGGGAGCCCAACGCCAGGCTTGATCCCAGGACCCAGGGATCATGACCTGAGCCGAAGGCAGACATTTAATCCACTGAGCCACCCAGATGCTCTTATAATTATAATAATTTAATTACAAGGTCCTTTGAGATCTTTTCCCCTGAGGAACTAAGAATGGGATTTTAATTTTTACAATGAACCTGTACTGCTATTTTTAAAAGAACTTTATTGAAGTATGATTGACATATAGTGCACATATTTAAAGTATCCATTTGTTTTGACATTGTATACATCTGTGAAACCATCACCACAATCAAGAGACTATCCATCACCTCCAAAAGCTTACTCATGTGTCTCTGTAGTCTCTCCTTCCTGCCTCTTCCTAAACTAACCCGTCCCCTAGCAACCACTGAGCTACTTTCTGTCACTATAGACTAGTTTGCATTTTTTAGAATGCTATATATATGTAATCATACAGTACATACTCCTTTTTTTTCTGGCTTCTTTCAGCATAATTAGTTTAAGATTCATCCATGTTGTTGCATGTATCAATAGTTTGTTCATTTTTATTGCTGAGTAGTATTCTGTTGCAAGGATCTATACAATTGATTTATCCATTCATCTTTTGATGGGCCTTTGGACTAGTTCCAGTTTTTGGCTATTACAAATAAGGGTGCTATGAACATCCATTTACAAGTGTTTGTAAAGACATATGCTTTAATCTCCACTAGCTAGCAGTGGAATGGCATAAGTTAGGTGTATGTTTAGCATTTTAAGAAATTACCAAAACATTTTCAAAGTGGTTGTATCATTTTACATTCCCACAAGAGATGGAGCATGGGGTTGTGGCACTAAATGAGTGGTCTCTTCACCAAGACGTTTGGTAATGACAGCGACCATCAGCTCACTGCGTAGGTTTAATCAGATTGCCAGGCTAAAATGCGTCTAGTCCTTTTTAATCACAGATGCCGTTGAGAATTTGATTAAGGTCATGGTCCATGTGGCGTATAGGACGACACACATACAAATGCCAGGTAGGAATCATCCACGTTGGAAATGACGATGAACACTGTGACACTTGGGCGGAAAGAAGAGGGCTGGAGTTCAAACACATTGAAAAGTTACCATTGTTGGGACTTGGTAAGAGGGGGAGAGAAGATGATGCCCAGGTTAGAATGATTAGGTGATGGTGGCGACAAGACAAGGGAGGAGTGGGTCTAGAGGGAGGAAGAAGGGGTCATTTCTGGCTTTGCTGCATGCGACGTGCCTAGGCGATACACGCTATTCAGAAAGTGGTTGTAAATGGACTTCGTCTAGGTGGAGATAAAGATTTCCGTGCAAAAACATACAGGTTTAGTGGAAGTATCAGAAGCAGCTGTAATCACCACGTGCAGTTAGTAAATTCCTAACTTCCAAAGGAATCACTTCCACGCCTAACTGAAACAAGCCTAATTCGTCCAAAGGATCTACAAATGCCCTCCCAGAAGGTGCGCAATTGCAACACTGTTTCCGACGAAACTCCGCCCCGCCCAATTTTGCGCATGCGCCGGACGCATGCGCACCACCTTCACTGCGGCCGCTCCCTTCTCTGGGAGTCTGGGCTCCTTTCCTATCGCCTGCCCCGCCCAGGCGGCTGCCCGTGACCTGCCTGGGCGCAGGGAACGGAAAGCCGGAAGGGGCAAGACGAGTTCATTCGCCATGGGGCTGTTTGGGAAAACCCAGGAGAAGCCGCCCAAAGAGCTGGTAAGGGCTACGGTGATGGCAAAAGAGTCGGGGGATTTGCGTGGGGCGTAGTGGAGTTCGTAAGCGACTGGTCACTGTCCCTCCCGGCCGGCCAGGTGCCGTCGGCCCCCATTTCCGGGGTCTTCCACTCGACCGAGGGGCCAGAGGAAGAATCTCTAAGGAGGTGGCTGTGGCTAAAGAGAGCCCTGCTACGTCAGAACTCCGTAAGGGGGCCGAGGGCCAGATAAAGTTTCTCAGCCCAGGCACTGGGCGCCGAGGTAGCAAGGCGCTCTGGGCCTCTGGAAAGCCTCTTCCCTGCGCGCGTTGGTGCGTCCCGCCTGGAACCTTTCCCTGGCCGACGCCCCGCGCCTAACGCCCGCCTCCGGACAATTGGTGGACCTGCCCCTACCCCGAGAGTGGTGCACTGGAAGCCCCGCCACCGCCGCTCCTTCCACCTAACCCGCTGTAGTAAGTGGGAGGGTCTGTTTCCTCTTTCCCTGTCCTACAACATTATGTTGACTGCAGACACGTCAATTATAGAAGGGACCCGACTCGTGGGAATGGTACTGAGGAGAACTCAGGACCTGGCTTCGAATCATCTGGATCTACCTGTAAACAGAGATAATGGGATAATGTGTAGCGTTTGAGTGCCCTGCAGAGTCAGTCTTCCTAAGTTTGAATCCTGGTTCCCCATAGACCAAACATTGTGATCTAAGAAAGTTCATTTCTCTGTGCCTTAGTCTTGTCAGGTAGGAATGATAGTAGTTTCACTTCAGAGTCATGGAAGATGAAAGACTGTTAAGTTTTTTAGTAATGCTAGTTAGGGTTAATTCTTTATATATTCTACAACCTGGCCACCCAAGTGCAGACCAGCCTCGTCGGCATCACCTGGTAGCTACTTCGAAATCTGAGGCCCTACCCAAGACCTTTTTAATCGTAATTTGAATTCTAACAAGATCTTCAGTGATTTGTGTGAACATTAAAGTTTGAGAAGCATTGCTTTACAACACCCAGTACAAATTTACCCATAATGATAAAAAACCCACCCTGAAATCCTTCATTTAATAAATGATCTCACCTGTTCAGCTTTTGCAGGCATGTTTTTAAAAACCAATGTTCTACATTATGAAGTTGCTGACACATAATGTGTGTGTTAATGTTGGTTATATTTGTTAACCATAGGTCCTAGAACACTACATCCTCTATAAATATTAGTTTCTGTAGGCAACTTACTTAGTTTTACTCCCTGGTAGAATAAAAATTGTGGAGCTTAAATGAGGTAAGACCGTGTGACATTACTTTGTAAGCTGTAGAGCATTATATAGATGCACATTTTGTGGTGTGTATGTATTCAAAGATGCTTGTTACTGTAGAAGTGTATTTTTGATGTTAGGAAAAGATTATTTTCCTTCAGTGTTTGACCTTAGCTTTGCCATTCATAAAATGAGATAAGGTTCTGGGAAAACAGTCTTATTACTATTTAAACTGATCTCTTGTATATGTGTTACTTGCGTAACACTTAGAGTAGTTTTAAATGATAAATATAATTGCTAAGAACATGATGTCAGAATATTCTTCCAGTAGGGTAACCTACCTAGGAAAGTGAATCAACACCAGAAAATTTTAGGGTTAATGCATGAGATTGGTTTTTAAAATATGCCTGCCAGGGGGTGCGTGGTTGGCACAGTCCGTTTGCCATCCAGCTCTTGGTTTCGGCTCAGGTCATGATCTCGTGGATCATGAAATCAAGCCTCATGCGGGACTCTGCTCTCAGTGCGGTCGCCTTGGGTTTCTGTGCTTGGGTTTCTCTCTCCCTCTACTCTCTCTCTCATAAATAAATACATCTTTAAAAAATATATATGCCTGGGGCACCTGGGTGGCTCAGTCATTAAGCGTCTGCCTTCAGCTCAGGTCATGATCCCAGCATCCTGGGATCGAGCCCCACGTCGGGCTCCCTGCTCCGCGGGAAGCCAGCTTCTCCCTCTCCCATTCCCCCTGCTTGTGTTCCCTCTCTTGCTGTATCTCTCTCTGTCAAAAAAAACCAAAAAACAAAAAAAAAACATATATATGTATATGTATGCCTGCCAGTGGGATATCATAGTGATGAAATAAACAGCCAAGGAATGTATCATCTAGCAAGTAAAATAAGCATTTCAAGAACAAGTCTGGATTGGGTACTATATAAAGTTACAGGAGCTCAGAGGTTGGAGTGATCACCCCCAGGCTGGGGTGATCAGAAATGATTTGGCCCTGGGGCGCCTGGGTGGCTCAGTCGTTAAGCGTCTGCCTTCGGCTCAGGTCATGATCCCAGGGTCCTGGGATCGAGCCCCGCATCGGGCTCCCTGCTCGGCGGGAAGCCTGCTTCTCCCTCTCCCACTCCCCCTGCTTGTGTTCCCTCTCTCGCTGTGTCTCTCTCTGTCAAATAAATCAATAAAATCTTTAAAAAAAAAAAAAAAAAAGAAATGATTTGGCCCTTTACTGTCATGTTTTCCACACATCTCCTTCCTGTGAATTGGTTCTTGACTGTTTAGTGGGATTTTTAGTATATTTATTTTAATTGGTGCTGGAGATACCCTGCTCAAGATTTTCTTTAAGTTCCCTTTCATAGTACATCAGGGTAACCTTTGAGTTCTGATTATATCTCGTTCTAATTTGTCAGACAGTGTTTCTGTTTGCTTTGGATTCAGCTTCTACCAAGTTCCCTTTATAACTTGTGATTTATGACCAAGGAAAGTGTTTTGTCACCTTCCACAATTATTTAGTATTGAGTTTGTAATTCCAGAAAGTGCCAATAAAGCAGGAATGAGAAATACCATTTTTTCTCTGTGGAGCTGCTGACACACAGATAAAGTATTGGGAAACATATCTGAATAAGACATGTAATGTCAGGTATTTTAGTCTTAGTTTGGCATTTTTTTAAGAGAGAGGAGGAGAAAAATTAAGTGTTTAACTTTATAAAAGAAGTTAAGTAAAGGAAATTAAAACAAAAGGTAACGTTGGCAAGGAAGAAGAGAGGAGAGAATTGACAAAATGCCCGAGTCTCAGCTGGGCAACTGTTGAGTTAGGATAAATTCATAGTATGCCTTCCACTGGGGGCTGGAAGATGAGGGCATGTGGGTCATGGTCCCAGCATAGGTGCAAAAGCAGGCGCAGCTGCGCCACACCATCCTGGTTGTCATTTAGGCCATCGTCACAAGTCAGTTCAGGCAAGTAAAATACATGAGGGGTGGTGTTCCCACAGCTTTGGTACAGTATGCAGCACAGAGTAGGTGCTAAATAAATGTTGAGTATGAATGAGTAATGGTCCGAATAAAGTCAAATATTCCTGAAGCCAAGTAGTCCTAAGATGAACAGTGTTTCAGAGGATACTCCAGGGAAACGTTATAGCTACTTAAGGGGCCTTACAGACTAAAGCTATTGCCCCCAGGCATCTCTGATGCATTGACGGAGACGTTTTAGTGGTGAAACTTGTTCTACCTTAAAGTGCCCACGTGAAGAGTAGATGGGGCCTGCTAAGGATGAAGAAGCTTTGTAATTTACTTAGAACCCTGTGACTGTGTTGTGATGGGAATCAAGAGGACATGGGATGTGTTGGAAAGAGATTCTTCTGTTGGATTGAGGTACTGCTAGAAAATTGTGCTGTCCTTACATAGGGATTTCGCTGATTGAGCCTTTGGATAGGGTAGTACAATCATGGCATCAGAATTCCTAAATCATACAACTAACTTATATCCTTAAACTAAGTCATGTCTCATGGTTGTGGGTTGCTATAAGAAAAAAAGAAAATGAGACAAGGAGATGGAGAAAAAGAAAAAGTTTCATTTACTTAGTTCATACAATGAACATTTACTGAGATATTTTAGTGTGTATTGGGTTGGACACCAGGTTTTCAAAAAATAAGACACTGGATGACAACATCAAAGAATACCAAGTTTACTGGGGGACTCTGGCACGTGAAAAAATACTCATATTAGAGTAAATAAGGGCAGTGATGTAAGTATATACAAGATCTGTGATGTCACAGTGGAAGGAGTGGTTAACTGTTCAGAGTGGCGAAGAAGACCTGATCAGGTAGGGTATCTAGATCTTATCACAAGGGGCATTAGTCAGATGGATGATGTGGTATAGGATTAGGAAAGAGGGGGCATCCCAAGCACAGTAAACTGTATGTGCAAGGTGTGGAAGTGTGGAGCATAGATTGGAGGGACCAGAAAAAACTCAAACATGGTTAGAGGATGAAATACTGTGAAATCTGAGTGGGATGCAGGCGGAAGTGATGGCAGTATCAGATATAAAATTGCAGAGGTAGATAGAGGGTAGATTAGCAAAGCCCAGTGTGTCATGCCCGCTAAGGATGAGAGCATTCAGAATAGTGGTTTGGAGCAAGAATTGAAGGGAAGAGAATTAGGTATGGGAGCCAGTTCGTGGCCCAGGTGAGAGATGATGCTGGTCTTAATTGTGGAAATATGGGAATAGAGAGGATAGGATGAATTTTTGAAATATTTAGGAGATATAGTCGGAATTTGCTGATCTGGGTGTGGAATAAGAGTGTAAAGCTGATTCTTAGGGTTGACTGGAGGTGAGGTTAAACAGAAACCTATCATTCCCCTCAGTTTGGTACCATGAACTGAAAATGAGAGAATTCAGGACACTAGCAGGTTTGATGGGATACTGATGGTGGAGGGGAAGGAACCACAGAGTTCAGTTTTGGACAGAATTCAGGAGACCAAGGAAAACATTAGAGAAAAGGTTATCCTGGGAGAATATTTTTCTACTTTGTCCACTCAGCAAAATTGTAAGCTTCTTGAGAGCAAGGATAATGTTTTTCTTTATCATTCATTGAGTCAGCATAGTGTTGAACTCCCTTAGTAAGAATAAGGTGCCTATCAGATATTTGCTTGATGAACAAAAGTAGAGGTAGTGAGAGAACAGTTACATATTTGAAGTATAGCCTACTTGTCCCTCTTTTGTATATCCATCTGACTGTGATCATAATAGGCACATTTTGACCTTATTTCAGT